CTCTTTCCCTCTCCCTTCGTCCCTCTTTCCCTCTCCTCTCCCCTTCCGTCCCTTCTCTCTTCCTTCGTCCGTCTTTTCCTCTCCCTTCGGCCCTCCCATCTCCCTCCTTCGCCTCCGTACCTCTCCTTCCACCCTCCTTTCCTCCCATCCTCTTACCCCACCATCTACCTTTCCGTCCCCTAACTTTCCACTCCCTCACACCCCTTCCCCCTCTCCTTTCCTTTCCCGAGGCGAGAGCAGGAGCTATGTTCTCGAGGTTCGCCGCAGTCGCGATGGCGCTTGCGTTGTGACCCCGTCCCGCAATGCCCTCCGTGCCCCCTCCCCCACCCCCTCCCCACCACGCCCCAAGACGGTGACAGCCGCCTAGGGTTGTCACCATTGGCACTGTGAACTCAGGAATTACTCAGAATATCAATGCGATTATTAGATATTATCCGCGTGGTTCGCTTCTTACGTTATTGAAAATAGTAATATTCTTCACTATAATCCAACATGTAAATTTATATTTAAGGTATGATTAATTAAGCCAATAACCAATAAAAATGGTTCATTCCTGTGTATTAGGTGTTGATGTCGCTGCTTGTAGAATTTCAGATTTGATAGTTGTGTGAAATTGTAAGCACGTCAGGTTCACGATTACTGATTCCAATCGAAAAGCATTTTCCATTCTCTTATCCGTACGTATAAGCAGAGTGTATAGAAATGCCTGTCTGTCCATCTATTATTTCTTTGTCACATTCCGTTTCATACTAATAATATTTCCGGATTCTTGTTACGTGTTTCAACGAAATGTCTTTGTAACTTCTGGCTTTCGAAACATCAATAAAACTTTTATGTCTGTCTTGCTTCAATGTCTTTCTTGGAAGGAATGACCGTACTTGGCAAAAGGTTAAAAAGTGGATTTTCAATTGAACGATCAATGTTTACGGTTCATGATTTATGCTGGATTCTGCTAAATATTCGAACTGCAGTACGTCGCGGAACAGGTATTCATAATATTATGAACGTTGCGTAATTTTTAAGCATGATTCTTTGATTAAATTTGATGGAATAAGTACGATATATACAAGTGAATGTAATTATATCGTGTTGTGGGATCGTGTCTAAGACCTATTTTTTGCAGCAGTGCACCATTGAACTGTGTGTGTATGTATGTGTGTATATGTGCGTGTGTGTGTAATTGCGAGCACAGACCCTTACATAGTATTAATTGGAATAATTAAGCAGGACGTAGTTCCCGAATTGCAACTACCAGTTGTGTTTTATATTTTCTAGCAGAGATTCATTTCGCAGCATTGTTGAGATTCTGGAAACTATATTCCTGCTAAGCCGCAGCCTTGATGTCCGGAGGAGATGTTTCCATGTTCTTAACAATGGGAGTTGAATAAAAATGATTCTTGTGTATTGGAATTAGATAAAAAAATTGGTGTATATAATTTTTTAATGAATATGTGAATGTGCAAAGAGTAAAGATGTGAGGAAGATCCAAATTTATATTACTGTTACTTATACATTTTTGTTGCCTCAAACGAATGTTGTGACTATATTTCATTAAATTATTTACCGTGTAAATTGAAGATTGACAGAAATATTAAATATTTCTTTCATTTCGTGCCACAGCAGCACACTTTGGCTTCTTAGCTCATTACCATGACGATGACCGTTGTCAGAGGTTGGAAGTGACTGCATCAAGTTGATTGACTCGTTAAGCTCGACACTTGTGCCAGGTTCCAATGATTCCTTGGTAGAGCAGCGGAGTGCGCCACTACTGCTCGTAGAATGAGCTTTGACTGAGCGCCGTTTGTTCCTGTTGCAGAGCGAGCGCTGCAGTGCTGCGCGTCCACATTCAACCCGCTGCGAGGCCCGCCCGTGCCCACACGTGAGTACGAAACGTCGATGTTGCCAAAACATCGATCTTCACAATTAAAAAATTCCATGAAAATACTTCGATTATAAAACATCGGTTTTTATTAATAAAATAAACAGTTCCTTTTTAATTTAAGTCATTCACGTGTTTCTGTTTTAGTTTTTTAAATTTATTATTATTATTTATTTAATAGGTAATTATTACAAACAAATTAACTTACTTGATCCTATGTGGCTAGACCGAAGGCCTTTAAGCCATTACAATACCTACATCCTTTCGCGTTCCAATCTTTCAAATTCTGGTATTCACCCCAAATGGTCTCTCCATCGCATCAAAGCCGCGGAAAAGAGACCATAAGGTACGGCTCAGGAAAAAACCCCTGAAGGGGGAAAAACCTGCCGTAGAAGTAGAGTAATCTATCCGACGTTTATTTTAACTATTTATTTTCTGGCGCGGACGTCCCGCTGTCTCCTTCCAGTGTTTGGCCTCCTCAGCACCTGAAATCAAACAGCGCCACAGAAGATAGTCCGCACCAACGTCTCTGCCCTTATATTTTCAATCCCCCTTCCCTTCACCCCCTAATGTGCTTATTACTATAGTTTTATTTAGTCTGAATGTCTTAAATTGCATTAAAGAGGAACTGTTTTATTAATCAAATATAGATATTCATCAACAGAAGTTCTATGTTTTTAAACATGGATGTTTTCAAGCTGGTTTAGTGACCTCTAACATTGAATTTGTGCACAATGAAATTTAATTTGACAATATTGATGTTTATTAATTATAATTAATATTTGACTGAAAATAAAGTAAAAAATAATAAAATCAAAGAGCCAAAGTAAGCCTGAGCGCCCATGGGTCGTCTCAAAGGGCCAGTTCTCAGTTCGACAAAGGTATGCGACGACGGGGCATCGACTGCCTCTTCATGTGCGAAATGCGACGAAAGGCGTAGGAAATACCAGGGCAAGGCGGTCATCTCGAGCGAGAGATAATTTGCTCGTTGAAGGTAGTACGAACTGCATTTGTTTGCTTCGAACACTATCAGTTATTATATTTTTTAACGTATACATATTGTGTTAATTGTTTGTGTTTGTTTCATTCACAAAGAAATATCAGAAAACGTAAAAACATCGAGAACAAAATATTGATGTTAAAAAATCATCGGTGTTTATACACTAAGTGATCACAAGTATACGGACACGTCCAAAATGGTGTTATGGCGTGGTCGTGTTTTTCATGGAGGGGGCTTGCACCCCTTGTTGTTGTGTGTGGCACTGTCACTGCACAGATCTACGTTGATGTTTTAAACACTCTTGTTCACCCTGTTGATGGGGATGGCGATTGCATCTTTCAACACGATCGAGTACCTGTTCATACTGCACGGCCTCTGGCGGAGAGGTTCCACTACAATAACTTCCTTGTAATGGCCTGGCCTGCAAAGAGTCCTGACTTGAATCCTATCGAACACCTTTGTTATGCTTTGGAACGCCGACTACGTGCCAGGCCTCACCGACCTACATCGATACCTCTCCTCAGGGCAGCACTTCGTGAAGAATGGGCTGCCATTCCCCAAGAAACCTTCCAGCACCCGTTTGAAAGTATGCCTGCGGCAGTGGAAGCTACCACCAACGCTATGGGTAGGTCAACACCCTATTCAATTCCAGGACTACCGATGGTGGATGCCAGGAACTAGTAAGTCATTTTCGGCCACGTGGCATGATACTTTTGATCACATGGTGTATATGATGTTCCAACAAAAACATCAATGTTTTGAAAACATCCATCGCCAGCGGTGCATGCCCTCCCCGGTCACTGGGCTGGATTTAGGTTCTGTGGGGCTCCCAATCTCTAAATCGTATTTGGGCCCTCTCCAGTAAAAAAATATATCCTCCAGAATTACTTGAAAAATTGGTGAAGACAAACTTTTACGTTCAGCAGACAATTGAATTAAGATTTTAAGTCATTTTTAGAAACTTTTATATCTCATATACGTACTACGTACGGAGTATGGTACGTTTATAGAGAAAGTTATGTAATGCTGCGTCTTCTTCTTTTATATATATATATATATATATATATATATATATATATATATATATATATAGAAAAACTCGTTTTGTGATTACCTCATACGCAGCGTTGTCAGTGTACTCAATTTGTGGTTCCTTAATACCGAAAATGCGTCCTTTTTAACATGTCCGTCCGTCCGTCCTTCAACAACGGTCTGAACTATCGTTGGATTGTTTTCCATAATGAATATTCCCGGACACACTGGCCTAAAACGAAGCTGTGCAATTTTCAAAAACAATCTTTAAATGTTGTGTGTACTTTACATGCATCATCCGAGACATTTTTCAAGCTTTGCCGAAAAATGGATCCGATTTTCTTTTAACTTTCTCGCTCTTACATCATAAAAACGGAAAGTAGTGCAATTGTGCGCCGGAAAACGGCGAATTTTTGAGACAAAAACTCTTATTGCCGGACCCAGTTAACGGAAAAGTGGAAGAATCCTATTGCTACATAGTACTATAGTACATTATTTCCTGTAATCCCTGGTACAGCCAGAATGCATGTATTTTGGGCCAGAACACAGTGGAGGTACTCCACATTAGGCAACCCGTGAGAGACATGGATGAACCGAAAATTTCATCGTGATCTATTTGTAGGGTACCATACGTCCTCTTTTCCCTGAACATTTTCTTTTTTTTTAAGTAAGAAAAACTGTCCGGGGGATTTTACAAGAAAGGACGAAATGTGCTTTGTTGTTGAAAAGGGGGTTTTACTTATAATGGAACTTAAGACGTATATCGTATGTGAGAAGGATACTGGTTTTTTTTCTTCTTTTTTTTCTTTTTATCTTTTTAGAGTTCTTGGCATCACATGATTTCATTGTATAAATAAATGACATTTAACTTGAACTTTCCCACCTAACAAGCGCCAAAATTCATACATGAACACACATACATTTAGTTATTTAATTAACCCATCAAATGCGACAATGTTCCCATCAGCTGGTACAACGTATTGAACAATGTACTGTATGCTGTGCTTGTTATATATTTTGTGCTTTGTGTTTAAACAGTTCATCTCTCCTGTGGAGTTAATGCTGCTTTGGGGTATTTATTATTCGAGCAATATGCCAAGAAGAAAAACCTTGTGTAATGATATATTTAAGAAAGTTCAAAGCGTTTGTTGCAAGGTTTACAGGAAAGAAAAGCATAGTTATAATCCTTGAGGAAGATTTCATCTACCAAACACGTCTGCTATTAAAGTGGAAAAGAAAGTTATAATAATGAAGTAGGTGTGATGGTGAAAGTGATGACAATGAAGTATTGGTTTTGTCAGTAGTAAATATTTTGTCTTTAAGAAAAATAAATTATATTAAAACATTTTATATTAATTGTCTTTTTTTTAATACATGGAATGCCTTTTTGTCCATAATGGAAGTGTGGTAACCCTATGTACTGGTATTCGCGATCGATGGTTTGACTATCTCTGTTCTTAAGCAACTTCGCAGAGATCCGAAAGAGAAGGCTCAAATTGTGTGAGTAGAAGTGCTTCAACTAATTTCCAATGACGTTGCGCGAAAATTCAAAAGAGTTCTGTGGAAATGTGCTCGAAATTGCAAATTTTCAGAAACAAGGACATTCTTTCCAAAGCTATTCCGATTTTTTGAACGATAATTTGGATATGGGACCATGAAACAAAATCTCATTAGATTAGATTAGAAAACTAACTTGTACGAAAATGTCTGTCATTCTGAAGTCCTTCTTGTTTAATTTTTATTCAGGGTACGGTGCTTCTCTTGGATGGACATCCGAAGAATCTGCTGGTTTTTCGCTTGAAAGTAAATGTGCCCTGCCCGCTCCAACGGGTTTCATCGCTGTCGGAAAATTGAGCGCCACATCAGTTTCTTTCCAGTTGGATTTGCATTGATGGGAGGGCTTCTTGGTTCGTCTCTTGTCCAAAAAGGTTCTATTGTGTTGTTTCATCGCGAACTACATTATTACTTGCTACCGATGTAGAGCGCGGTTAATTTTCTCACTTTCGATGTCTCTGACAATGAATGCATACTGTGTTGTGCTGTTTCATCTCAACCGTTTCTCATAAACTGTCCAAAGAGATTCTCACTGTGAACAAAGAACCCACTGAACTGTGTGAGAACGTTCTGAGCCAAGAAACCAGGATAAAGCTTTGTTTGTTATCCCACGTGCAATTTACCGTTCAAGAAATTACTTTTGAATAAATTCCATGGTTGGAGCAGATATCTTGTGGTACTCCATAATGTGAGTTAGAAAATAATCAACCTCACTTTTCCCATCTTCAGTGGTAACTGAAGATGGGAAAAATGTTTCCCCCAATTTAACTTCGGGATATTAAAACTATTTTGTTGTGGTTGAATATTTCCTAACTCACGTTAATTTTGAATAGCCTGTGTGTTTATATCTATACAGATCTAACTTACTTGGCTGTGAAATGTGTTAATACGTTAAATTGTGAGAAATAAAACTTTAAGAAGAATATTTTTCGTTGAATTTGCCAAAAACTACGAATTTCGTATTTCTCGTATTTTCAGAATTACAGTAATATTAATGGTTAATTAACAGCAGTAATATTAGGTGTTAATTTTTGACTCCCTAAAATCCAAAGGATAGACTTTTGTATTTCAAGCAGTGCAGTTCTACCTTATTCTTGTCTGGTTTGTCATGCAGGTCCCCTTCCCCATTTCCGGGAAGTCTGTGGCTGCACACATCCTGTGGTTTTTAAGTGGCTTTAATCCGTTAACGGAAATAAACAAGATAACGCGCGTTTATTAACATATCTTTGTCATTCGATTCAATAAAACGGTTTCATTTTGCCAGTGCGATAAGGTTCCTGGAACATGTTGTATGTGTTCGAATAAAAGTCTCATAATACTGTGAAACCTCTTCAAATCTGAAGAAGAAAACGCCAAGACATTAATTATTAAGAACATTCACGATTCACGGTAGGAAAAGAAATGCGTTAAAAGT